AGATACTGTTTAAACATCTGGATGAATCCGTCCATGCATCTCTCTGGAAGATTATAGTCAGTCTTCATGCTCATCAGTTGTGAAGACAACGATAATCTTGAAAGTCCTTGTACGCTTCCTTCGTAAATCAGAGTATTCGCCGTGTGAAGCATGTCATAAAATCGTTTTGCTTCAGCATTGGGTTCTTCCTCCATACACGGAGAAGGTTGCACCACTCACCATCTCTACGTATGGATTCCTTTCTTCTTCTTCAATGATAGCAGGTTGCACCACGTGAAGTTGTTCTTCTGGGTCATGTGATGATGATATGACGTATCATACATTTTTCTATGAGCGAGCCAAACAAAATAGTTGGACATGAACCCTCTCCTGTAAACGTGATTCCACACTTCATGTTGAGTTCGCCATTTTCGATTCTCACACTTCGGACACGGGCAGGGCAACTTCGAATTCTCAACATACGACATTTGACTTGTTGCAAACGCCATAAATTGCTTTAATCCCTCTTCAAACTCTCGAGATATTTGATTATTGGACAAATCAATTCGCCCATACATCCATATTCTTGAAGAAAAAAACATTTTTTTTCTGTGATTTTTTCTTTATTTCCTTTTCTCATACTCTAGCAACTGTCGGTCGTGGATATTTATAATTAAACACATCGACATATTTGCGACAGACATATTTGTCGTAACAAAGATTACGACAGATTTGCGACAACATTGCTATAGAAATTAGGTGGCACACAAAACACATTTGTAACTACCTTTGCGACAGTGTCAGTGTTGTCGCCAAATTGTCGCAAAGTGATTACGATAGATACATTTGTCACAAATTCAGTCGTTAAATAACAACATACAGACTATCGCAAAATGTCGGTCGCAGGTTGTCGTCAACTATCATAAAAACTTGGCGATAGATGTTTGTGTCGTAATCTGTCGGAAAGTTCCAACAAAACTTGCGACAGAGTGCGACAGGATTCAGATTTCGATTTTCAGTCGCGTATCTGTTGTAATCTGTCGCATATTGTTTGCGGCAGATTAACTGTAATACCCCGAATCAAGATTCGAAAATTTTAATTAGTTTCCGGAAAAAGAAAAATTCGATCGACGAGTCTTAAAGACCTTAAAAATGGACCATAAAGTATCGGGACAAGGTCCGGGAATCACCACATGTGAAAGAGACGAGAAAACGATGAAAAACGGGAAACAGGACGTCTGGACTGACCGGTCTAAGAGGCAGACCGACCGGTCCAGCGTGACAGACACATGTGCAAATCCAGCTCGAGTTGCCGACTTCAGACAGGCTTTTCTCAGCGCGTGGGGTACCAAATGACGTGTCGTGACCACCCCCGGACCCTCCACGATGCAGACTTTACAGTGGGAATGAGCTAGTGCTCATGTGACTCGTCCTTGTCGATGAAAAACCTCTGAAAAGATGGCACCTCAGCCATTTTTCTCTGCAGAAGAAGAACCTAGCAGAAAGAGAAGAAAGAGAGAGAGAGGAAGAGAAAGAGACTGAGAGAAGAGGAAGGGAGCTCGGGGAAGCACAGAGGGACAACCTTAGAAGGTCTGGAAGGATCATCGGCATTGGAATCACCGGAAAACACCATGAACTCCAGCCAAAATCAGATCCGAATCTGATTAATTTGAGTGGCTCGAGTTGCCTCTGTGTGAGCTCATTTTCATCATTGTTATGGTGTTAATTCGATGAACCTGGACATGATTAGAAAGTGGAAGTTGCAATGAACACATAGAAACAAACGGAACTCGATTTGGTGAAGAAACGAGTAAGATATGAAAATTTGAAAATCGAAGAAAAACTGTAAATTTCATAGAAGAACACAAACTTGTTCTAATTCCGAGACTTTCGGGTCATTACCCAGAAAATAGGTGTGATAATTGAATGAATTGATGGTTAGAATCAAAAGGGGACATTTCAGTGAACATTTAGAAACAAATGGCGCTCAATTTGGACAAGAAATGAGTAAGTTATGAGCCAACGAAGTCGTACCGAAATCTGGGACGAAATCGCGAAATCACGATGTCTCCAGGCTCTAGACCGATCGGTCCAGACCTTGAAAATGCCTGAAATGCCCGAAAATGCCTGGACCGACCGGTCCAGACCTCGGGAATGCCTGGACTGACCGGTCCAGACTAGAAAATTGATAAAATTGAGCCAAAAACGTCTTGGGATGAGATATAACCCTTGGATCGACCAAACTATGTGAAAAATGAGTCGGAACAACGACAAAACATAACAGGGAAGAATCTGAATAAATCAATAATTTGAATGCGTGGTGAGATGTGCGACATACACCGAGTGAATCGTTGTATGATGAGTGGATTTATTTCCGATGGGTCACGAGAAGTGACATCGGTCGTCACGAGAAGTAACGTGCGCGTGAGGCGCATTGATTGTCGCGAGATGCGACGGCCAACATCATAAGATGTGACGGGCATGAGAGGCGATCCTAGTCATGCGATGTGACTAGGGTCTATGGCTAACCCTATGGTGTGAAGCCATACGGGACTTGATTGTTATGCGAAGCAACAGACAACGTCATGAGATGTGACGGACGTGAGAGGCGCTCCTAGTCATGCGATGTGACTAGGATTTACGGCTGACTCTATGGTGTGAAGCCATACATACTTGATTGTCGTGCGATGCGACGGCCAACGTCATGTGACGTGACGGACGTATGAGGCGCTCCTGGTCATGAGAAATGACCAGGGTTTACGGATAGCCCGATGGTGTGAAGCCATACGAGAATTGATATGATGATGTTCTAGTATGATATGAATATATGTTTAATATTGAATAATATATTTTGTGTTTTATCGTTTTAATACCGTTCTCGCTGGGAACGAGTTTACCGGATCCAACCTGGGTCATTCACTAAGCAGTTGTGCTTAACCCTCATGGTTTCACCTTTTTCAGATCACGAGTAGCACGTTTGAGGTGACGAATACTTCGAAGAGACAGCATCATGTACGGGGTTTTCCTTATTTGTATGATTTGAACTATGGAATATGTACGATTCCTATGTTTGTAAGATTGTACCTTTTAAATTCGGACATGTGTGATTTAAGACCTAACTGCTGTCTAATTCCGCTGCGGGTTTAATATTTAAAAAGTTTTAAAAATTCTCATATCGTAGTTTCGTATTATTTACTACTTTTAGTCCATGTGGCACATCCTGTGACGGGAATCGGGATACGAGTGTCACATTAACTCTGTCGCAAGTTCTGTCGTATTTTGCAGTTTTTCTTGTAGTGGGCAGATCCTACTCATGTGTTGCAACCTCAGGAGTTGGAGTTCACCAGCGCTACGCGCTTCTGAGATGAACCGCTGCAGATTGTGGACCGCAAGATCAAGCAGTTGCGGACAAAGGAGATACCACTTGTCAAGGTGATGTGGAAGAGTCAAGGAATCTCAGATATGACTTGTGGACCGCAACTATCCTCATTGGTTCAATTGATGTTGTACTACTTATATATTATGATCTCATATTGTAACAAACCCTCTATAATGCAATAAAAGTTTTAATGATTGACAATTCTGAATTCGAGGACGAATTCATTTTAAGGAGGGAGGATTTGTAATATCCTATTTTACAAAAAAAAAATGATTAACACAAAATGATTAAAACGGACAAAGTCGACATGAGAGGTCGTCTCTCCACCTTCGTTGCATCAATCGAATCGTTCTTTTCTTAAAAAAACCCTCCACCTCTCTTGTTACAAACACACACATACACATATAGAGAAACACACAGAGTGAGGGAGGTGAGAGGCAGAGAGAGTTTGGGAGAGTAACAAAGGGAGAGACGTGAGGAAGAAGAGAAGACCCAAGGGGAGGTATCGGAAACATTTCGGTAGCACAGACACCAAGCTAACAGAAGTGCGAATCATGAATGCCAGAAACGCAGGAAAAATCTCGCCGGAAAAAGACCAAAATTGGGCGGTCCGAAGGAGAGTGGTCCAGTTTGCTTCGGTGAACCGTTTCTCACCGTTTTACGTAGAAATTGGTATTTCTAGATTATTATATAAGGGTAGGAGTAATGGGTAGAACATTAGAATAAAAATTGGTGAGCACAAGTAGCGCACTTGGGGCGACGACGACTTCGAGGAGACAACATCGTGTACAGAGTTTCCTTCTTTATATGTTTTGAACTATGGAACACGGTTCCTACATTTGTACGGTTATACTCTTTTTAATTCGAACATGTGTTGTTTTGAGACTTGACTGTTGTTTAATTCCGCTATGTGATGAATATTAAATGGTTTTAAAATTCTCGTATTTTGGTTTAGTATTATTTTATTGATTTTAGTCCATGTGACGCATCCTGTTTACGGGAATCGGGATACGGGTGTCAAAACTTTTGGTATCAGAGCAACGTTCCTTCCATGGGAAAAAAACGACTCACTACCTTAAGGTATTTACAATGAAAATATTTTCAAAAACCATGTCCAAAGAAAAATTGTTTGCAAAAAACCGTACATAATGATGTGTTGTCTGTCGTCAGCTGCTAATGCTACTTAATCGTGGTGTAGTGAAATGGCGCCACGATGTGCTCAGTCTACGACGAGAGACAACAACGTCCCTAACCATGTTCCCCAAGCTGCTGAGTTTAGGGTATTTCGGGAGGAGATGCGGAACGAATTCCGTGTATTCTAGGAGACCATGATGCAAACCTTGTTGGCATATCTCCCACCTCCACCCCCAGCGAGAGGTCCAGAACCGAGGGGGGAGGATCTACCTCCACCGCCACCTGCACCGGCTGTGGCAGGAGACTATTTGCCGATTGTTCGGGAGTTGCGGGCCATGCATACTCCACGGTTTGAAGGATCGCTAAATCCCGAGGCTGCAGAAGAATGGCTGAACATGCATGATCCAGGACTTGGAGTATGTCTAGTGCCCCCGTGCTATCGATCCATGCTAGGAGCGACCATTTATCCGGACAAGCTCGACACTGATGGACAAAGGTGACACAGGAGATGTCGGATGGACATCAGTTCACCTGGGAGGAACTCAAAGGAGAATTTGAGAAGAAATACTACCGCCGACAGAATCAAGAACGCCGCCTCACTGAGTTCTTGAACCTACAGCAGGGGAATAGAACAGTCCAGGAGTATGAGGCAGAATTCATACGTCTGCTAAACTTTGCATCGCACCTGGTACCCAGGGAGGAGATGAAGATTCAGAAGTTTGTCGCTGGATTGCAACCTTCGCTTCGCATAAGTGTCACGCTTCACGAGTTCCATACCTTTGGCCACTGCATTAGTCAATTGGAGAAGGCAGAGAAGACAGAGCAGGAGGAGAAGGAGGATAGAATCCGCGACCGTAGCCCTTCCCTACGTCACAAGTACCCGACCTCTGGGGAAGACTGGTCAAACTGGCTAGTACCGTAGCCCTTCTCCACCACCTCGAGGACCATCGGTTTGCTACCGGTGCCAGCAACCAGGACACTATGTGGCATATTGTACGGTGAGACTAGCAGAGCCGCAAGCGCAAGCGGCTAGACCACCACGGCCTCTGTCGAGACCTGCAGATGGAGCCGAAGGGGCCCCAAGAGTTTATGCTCTAGAGGCGGAACACGAGATTCAGGAGGAGGAGATTCATCTCGATGGAGCCGAGGCAGATGCGATCGCAGGTACCCTTCTATCTATACGGGGGTAGTATTATTGTTGATGCGGGACAATCCATTGTTTGTTTGAGTGCGAAGATAACAAGAAATATCACAGGTATCCTTCGCTTATACAGGGTGCCCTGTTATACATTGTTTGACACTGGAGCGACTCACAGTTTTGTGAGTATGAACATAGTGGAGAGAATCGGTATAGGAGACATCGATCCGATGAGTAATTTTACAGTGTGTACACCGACAGGAGAAGCACTTACAGTTCAAGAGACCTTGCGTGGTGTACCTCTCGACATATGCGATCGACAATTGACAGCGGATCTTATTGTGGTACCCATTGGAGTCTACGACCTGATATTGGACATGGACTGGTTCACGAGGTACCATGCTCATATCGACTATCCCCAGAGGACGATCTGGTTTCAAGAGGACTCAGGAGGACTCGAGTTTAGAGGGGGGAGCACCATCGACGGACCCAATTGTCTCAGCACTGAAAGCCGAGAAGATGATTAGGAAGGGCAGCGAGGCGTTCCTAGTGGTTATCACGGTTATAAGGAACCGGAGAGGAGATTGGAGGACACACCTGTTGCTCGAAAATTTTTCAGATGTATTTTGGGATGATCTACCGGGAATACCGCCGAGCGGGGAAGTGGATTTCAGCATTGATGTGCTACCGGACACAGAGCCGATCACTAAGGCTCCGTACCGGATGGCACCGAAGGAGATGGCAGAGCTGAAGAAGCAATTGAACGAGCTAGTGGAGAACGGGTTTATACGTCCAAGCGATTCACCGTGGGGAGCGCCAGTACTGTTTGTGAAAAAGAAGGACGAGAGTATGCGTCTGTGTATTGATTACTGCGGGCTCAACCAAGTGACAATCAAGAATCGGTACCCGTTGTCGAGGACTGATGAGCTACTGGACCAACTGTAGGGAGCCAAGTGGTTCTCAAAGATCGATTTGCGGTCGGGGTATCATCAGATATGATATACAGAAAACGGCGTTTCGGACTCGATATGGACATTTTGAGTTCGTAGTCATGCCTTTTGGACTCACGAACCCACCAGCGGTCTTCATACAGTTGATGAACATCGTGTTTATGGACTACTTAGATGAGTTCATCATCGTCTTCATCGATGACATTCTCATCTATTCGCTGGACCAGCAGACACACGAGTAGCTTCTACGGAGAATTTTGTATAGATTGAGAGAGCACCATCTGTACGCGAAGTTCAGCAAGTACAATTTCTGGTTCCAGGAGATTGGTTTCTGTTGGTTGTAATGCTCTACGATGATCCGTGATATGACATTTGACTTTGTATTGATTCATTGATTCATGAATGCATTATTTTTCCCGTTATACGATTGGAATGTTTATTGTATTTCGGCATCATTGAATCATTAGAGAATGATTCTAAATTCCCTAGTCAGTCATCGTTGTGGGAACAATGATGAATTAAGACTAGCATGAGGTGTGATCAATGCATTGGATGCAGATCACAAGCATGGGTACTCGTTGTGAACGAGTGACTGGATGACCCGCATGAGATTGTCACATGGGTAGAGTCATGACTTGAATCTTAAACAGTGGTTCGTTCCTGGATCCTCATACCTGAGATGTCTACAGTATCTGATATGAGGAGTGGCGTGTCTTGACTGCGTCAAACGTCGTCTTTAACCGGATGATTATAACGGCCTTGATCAGATACGTTCACGAATCATATGGAGATAGTAGACATGCAATATGGGACTTGTCACCTCCTTAACAGGAGAGATATCGCTGGGCCCTCTCGTTGAAGTCGGACTATGAAAATGCGTGGCCACACTATAGATGAAGTTGCATCTATTTTATTAGTCGATTTGCCAAGACGAGAAAGCGGTTGAACTTGAAGGGTGGCTCAAACCATGCCCTTGTTCAACTTACGATATCGTGAGACAAAGGATCAGAATTCGAGCTGTTAATGCCTTGGTTAGATCACCTCTAACTCAATTGTAAGTGGGTGGTCATGGCGTCTTGCTAGAGGCTAACCATGACTTGTGGTTCCGGAAAAGGTTCCTAAAGTCACTACCACTTAGAATGGGTCTACAGAGTCACACACCACTAGGGATGGACTTATACGTGAAGAATACGAAGAATGGAAACGAGAGTTGACCGAAACGAGCATGAAAAGGAGTTTTCAGTGTGTTGGTCCGGAGCTGACCAAGTTTGGTCAGCCCCGGATCAAGTTGGTCAGATCAGGCGGTCCGGAAGTTAGTCAGGAGGTCATCTGTCCAGGTCTGGTCCGGCTGACCAAGAGTTGGTCAGCCCCGGTCAGGCGGACTGAGGAGTTGGCACGTCGGATTGAACTGACCAAGAAGGGTCTTGGTCCGGAGCTGACCACGTGTGGTCCGCCGGACCAAACCTTCAGGTCAGGCGGTCCGCGAGCCTCGGACTAAACCTGGTCCGTCGGACCAAGCTCCTGGTCTGGCGGACCGGGATCTGGAATTTTCCTAAAAATCGGATTTAGGGTTTTTTAAGCTTATTTAAGTTTGGGATTTCGTCAAAACTTAATTAAGGCCCCCTAAAACTCAGAGAAACATCCTAGAACCCTAGAGAACCTGTTTTCTTCGATTTCTACTGTCCCGGGATTGGATCTCGTCTCTTGAGTTACCCTTTTCTTCACTAATCCTAGCAGATTCGTTCCAAATCGTTTGGAATCCTTCCCGTCGGTTTGGATACGTGTAGAGGGACTGTAACTTCAGTCCTAGGTGATTAAGAACAGGCCCCGGATCGATATTTGCTTCAAGTTTCATTGAGAACGAGGTAAGTGACGATTCCCTCGGTGATATACACGATCTTTTGGGTTTTGTAAGTTTGGTTGCGTGTGACGCTTGACTAGGTTTAGATCTTTCTTCCGCTGCATGAAACCTAGTAAACCAAACCCTAGATCGATATGATCGCATGCTAGGAACCCGTAGATACCCCAACAGTGGTATCAGAGCCTGGTTCTCGATATATCGCCGTGCTTGTTGTATGATTGCATGATTTAATTGTTAAATTGCATGTAATCATTGAATGTACGCATGTTTAGCCGGACCAGCAGGCAGATCAGATTCCGGACCGATTGTTTGGTCAGGAGGACCAAAGTTCACCTGGTCAGCTCCGGACCAAAAGTTGGTCCGGCGGACCCAACGTGAACAACACTGGTCCGAGACGAGGACTGGCGGACTGACCGAAAGAAGCGGACTGAGTTGGTCCGAGCTGACCAAGTTTGGTCAGGCCCGGACCAAGCCCAGTTGGACTGCGCTCCGTCTCTTTGGTCAGCTCGGAGCAGACAAAAACGGACTGACTTGGTCCGGGGTTGACCAAGTTTGGTCTGCCCCGGACCAAGCTCAGTTTTCAATCTGAGTCCGATTCCAGGTCAGCTCGGAGGAGGAGAAGAAGACTGAGTTGGTCCGGAGATGACCAAGAGTTGGTCAGCCCCGGACCAAGCTCAAAATTTTTCTCAAAACTGACAGATCGACGGACGAGAGAAGCTGACCAAGGTCAGTCCGGCGGACCAGATTCTGGTGAGGTCCGGACTGGACCTCATACACTTCTCAAGTCCGAAATTTTGTTCTTTTCCTCATGATTAATCTCAAGCTATTACCGTCCATTAGTAGAGCAACTGTCAAGGTCTCGATCGTCATGGTTACGGGTCATGCCCTAGCTGAGCGTGCCTGACTATCTTGGTGAGGCAGTATGGAGAAATCGTGATTCTCGATTCTCATAGCTCGAATATGGTTGAGCTTGAATTGGGTTATCAAGTCGGACTTGGACCGATGGTAAGGATGGGATTTGGAACATGCAGTGATAGCGTATCACTATCCCATACTCATCTAGGAATCACATAGGATGTGATTGACAATGTGTTGTCTACCTAAATAGCATGGTTTTGAGCGTCATGCCCTAGCTGACTCAGAAGCATGTGAAATATGGATCCTAGCTCACTTAGAAACTCATTGAGGGTGTTTTTCTTAGTGGGAGCCTGTCATATTGCATCTATTATCTGTGATAGTAAGTGTACTAAGTGACTTGCATATTTTCTGTCTGTTTGTCTGTCTTTTTCTGTAGAACATATCTGTTGCAGGAATCTGTTTTATCTCACCATGCGATCTATCCTTATGAAGGATAAGCCTCTGACCAAGGCTTCTGGATCGATCATTGATGCTTATTGGAAGCATGAGGATGATGATCTGGACGTGTCCAGCTTGATGCTTGGAAAGATGTCTTCGGAATTGCGTGAGCAATTAGATGACATGGACAATTCATTGATGGATGATCAGTTGAATATGTCATTCCAAGAGAAAGCTGGGAGCCAAGGGAAGAATGATATGGTGATTGTTGGAAAGAGTTCCAGCAAGAGGAAGCGTTCCAAAGGTAAGGGCAAAAGGAAATTGACAAGTGTTGTCACTAAGCCTAAGTCCAAACCCAAGAAGGAAGAGTGTTATTTCTGTCATGCCATTGGGCATTGGTACAGAAATTGCAGACTCTACCTGGAAGATCAGAGGAAGAAGAAGCTTACAGAAGCTTCGACTTCTGGTATCTTCGTTATAGAGACGAACTTGTTTACTTCTACATCATGGGTATTAGATACCGGATGTGCCTCGCACATTTGTACAAATGTGCAGGGACTGCGAGGAAGTAGACAATTGGCAAAGGGAGAAGTAGATCTCCGTGTCGGGAATGGAGCAAAAGTTGCTGCATTAACCGTCGGGACTTATGATCTGACTTTACCTTCTGGCCTAGTATTGGAGCTGCATGATTGTTATTTTGTACCTGCCACCAGTAGGAACATCATATCGATTTCATGCTTAGACTCAGATGGTTTCAGATTTGTTATTGAGAACAAATGTCTGTCCATTTATAGAGGCGATTTATTCTATGGTAAAGGTTACCAGTTTAATGGCCTTTATATTTTGGAAGATGAACCATCTGGATACAAGTCGATCTATAATGTTAGTACCAAGCGGTTTAAGCCGAACGACTTAAATCCGACCTATCTCTGGCATTGTCGACTTGGCCACATCAACGAGAAACGCATAGCGAAGCTTCATTCTGATGGACTTCTTGATTCTTTTGATTATGAGTCAATTGAATCGTGCGATTCTTGTTTGATGGGCAAGATGACAAAATCTCCTTTTTCTGGAAAAGGAGAACGGGCTACAGAGTTGCTAGAACTCATACATAGTGATGTATGCGGTCCTATGAGCTCTCCCGCTAGAGGAGGTTATCTGTACTTTGTTACGTTTACTGATGATTTCAGTAGGTACGGTTATGTCTACTTGATGAGACATAAGTCTGAAACGCTTGAATTGTTCAAGATTTTCAGAAACGAGGTACAGAACCAACTTGGCAAGACGATCAAGTTGCTTCGATCTGATCGAGGTGGCGAGTATATGAGCCAAGAGTTCACTGACTATCTGGCAGATTGTGGGATTGTCTCACAGCTGACTCCACCTGGAACGCCACAGTGGAATGGCGTGTCTGAGAGGAGGAACCGGACCCTATTAGATATGGTACGGTCTATGATGAGTCAGGTCGATCTTCCTAAATCCTTCTGGGGATATGCTTTGGAAACAACAGCGCTTATACTGAACAACTGTCCAACAAAGTCGGTTCAGAAGACTCCATATGAGATATGGACTGGGAAGCGTCCCAGGTTAGCATTCATGAAGATTTGGGGATGTGACGTTTACGTGAAACGTCTTGCTTCTGATAAGCTATCCGCCAAGTCTGATAAATGCATATTTGTGGGTTACCCTAAGGAAACTAAAGGGTACTGGTTCTACAACCCATCTGAGAACAAAGTGTTTGTTGCTCGGAATGGATCTTTCTTGAAGAGAGAGTTCTGTCCAACAAAGTCGGTTCAGAAGACACCATATGAGATATGGACTGAGAATCGTCCCAGGTT